ACAAATTAGCACAAAACATTCTGCCTATAAAAAAAAAAAGAAAAAAAATATTCAGCTAATTAAAAACCTTCTGTGATAAAACCAATTCCACTGAAAAGTCAATAAAGCATTCACATAAAACTGTAATAATACTATTAGGCTTAAATGCACGGTTGGTTATTAATATTTGAGGCAAGTCTAATTTCATCCAAAGAATAGGGGGAAACTCACCAGGAATGATGCAAAATGCTCTGATGTCATTACAGCATTAAATCCAACAACAGGCACCAAAGAGGCCAACAGTGTGCCCAATACAATCTGCATTGAGAAAATCAAAATGTGAACCAGGAACAAGGTCAGATGAAAAAGAGATAGTTTTAATCTAAAATCCAGATCCAGTCCCAGAACACCTCTGGCATGTAATTCTAAATAAAAATGGGACGAAGTCACATAAAGTAGTAAATACATAACACAAAATGAATGAAACATACTCTAATCTAGTAAAATGTAGAGTTCAAACATAAATTAAATACTCCATCTAACTATTGTAACAAGCAAGTTAAACCTCATTGTTTAACACTTCATTAATCCGTTAAACTTTACCATACTGCTTACTTTACCAAGCACAATTAATAGTAACAGGCATTTCAAAATTCCAATTTAAAAAGGCAAAAGCATTTTTTAAACTCTAAAATAACTGTATGATTGAAACAGATACTTACAAGAGGTGCATATGCAATGTACAGTCGAGAAGAATAGCGACCAGTTATTATGCACAAGAGTACATGGATTGGAATGAGATTAATGATAAAAGTGTACCCTCCCCATGAGCAAACCTGCAAGATAAGAAAAGAAGATAACATAAATAAGAAGAGGCAGAGGCAAAGATAACAAGATAAGCATTACCATAAAAAGCTTACCATGTAAAAGTATGCTATGGAATTCAAAGTGGCATAAAAGAGGGACCCTGTATTCAGTGTCTACATGACATGTAAATCAAGTCAGAAATTTAATGGAGAATAAAGAAAAGCTTAAGCGATTTCTATCAGCAGAGGCGTACAGAAGTGATGCTTCATAAAGAATATTCAAATTACATACTATTAGACAATGATGATAATCCATTCTAATAATTCCCCAGAAATTTTTAAGAAAATCAATGCCTTTATACAAGACCATTCAATATAAAATAAAGTTGTTTGCTTTCATAGAGCACCTTAATATAGAGGTAGAAAGTGAAGATCAAAGCAAAAATAGCAACAGCTTCATTATCATAGCTGCCAGCCACTGATCGAGATATATATGAGGGGACCTGCATGCACAACAAGATTAGGATATACTACATGTAAGAGTGAAGTCAGGGACCAGCAACCAAAACATATAAAAGAGAGCAACCGTTACCAACAGTCATCATAGATTTGTATATCTACACATCAACATACATGTTTGTTATTCAACCAGTATCCATCACTCTAACTAAACATTGACTTGTCAAGCATTCAAATATTGAATGCTGAATGGCTGAACCAATGTTTTTGATCATTACAACCATAAATGAAATGTTTATAATCATTAGGAAAATTGGAAGACAATCTCATAAAATCACAAAGCCTGTTGAGAAATTCACCATAGCCAAAAGAGTCGCTGCTGTCAATCCAGCCCCAGTACCTTTAACCTCCTAAGAAAGGGAGCAGCTGCAGTTAATTAGCAAACATATAGATAACAGAAAAAATATAAAAGGCGCAACTTTGGCATGGACAAACCTTTGTCAGAAGATAAGCTGCCCAAGAAGCAAAGGCTGAGAATATAGGAGCAGTAAACACACAAACAGTTTCAACTGAGAGAGGGATGTTCAAGGAATTCAGTATCCTGACACCAGGAGGGAATCGTCAAAAAATATCAACCACCATAGATAAAATTTGCAACAATTGCTTGCACGAGTATTTACAATTAATATTTAATCAATAGAAAAATCACAGCATATGAAAACCAACATCTCCAACTGTGTATTTTCGAATACCTACCACCATAAGGTGCCTGCTGTCAAGGTCAAACCAGGATAGACAGTCCCACCAATTACACGACCAAGGGGATACCTTGAAAAGGAAAAGTAACACAAACACTAAAGCCATAAACATTTAACAACAATCTCATTAAACTACATATATATAGAGAGGAAAACTGATTCATTTCATGCACCAGTTACTTACCAAGTTCGATCATCAAACCAGTTCCAGAAATCATATATCCCATTCTTTGTCAAAAACTGAAACCAACAAATATGTCTGTCATTTTTTGTGAACCTTCATCACATTGAGATTAACAAAGTAAAATTGAACAATGTTACACACACCCGTGAAGAAATTTCAATTTTCTATAGCCATTAACCAGCATGAGAGACTTCTCAGGCCTCCCAATAATATGTAGTAAATAGTAATACGTACAAAACAGTTTCATTCCAAATAATGCTCACCTGAGTGACTCTATAATTGAAATAAGGATCAAATTCATGGATAACACTCTCGTACTTTATAACCTGTATAAAATACACAGAAAATGTGATGGACTGCTAAAACAAAATCTGGCCAACAAGTGGAAATAGATAACCTACTATAGTGCTGGAAAAAACAGAAAAGAACATTACGATCTCAAAATATTAAGAACATATAATTTCAAAACAAAAACAAACAGCATTTAGAGTTAGAGTTAGTCAGTTCATAGAAATGTCTACACCATATCACCACTTTTAGATAATTATTTCTACAAAATATACGTGCTATATCACTCATGCTTTTGGAATCATAATTAAAAAATTTCTTTCTAAGTACAACTTTACAAATTAGAATTTCAATCAATACGAAGGCTTCATTTTATCATCTAATTTTAATATTATAACAGGATATTTATTTCAAGTACATGTATATTTAAAATGAAATAAAAAATTAAGAAGATTGTCTTATCTTACTTTGCATTTCATAATTTCACTCTTAAGTATCACTTCTACGCCACTAATGTAAACATTATTAAGCCATTGACTTAACTGGTGAATGAATCAACACAGCTCGGTCAACTCAAAAAACAAAAAATCTAAAGAGTCATGGCTAAGTCACTGAGATTGTGCTACCGTGTAACAAAAATAACAACAGATTGCGAGTCATTCATGTTGATTGTTATACATACGACGAAACGGTTCAATTTAGCGATTATTCGCGCCGTTGAATTCAGAAGCAGACAATCGCGTTGAAAAAAGGTAAAGGAGGAATTGAAACAGAGTGCAGGTAACCAGATCTGCGGAAGTAGAAGGAATGGAGAAATGCTTACAGAGAAGAGACGGATCGAGAAGGCGAGAACACCGATCAGGAGCAGGATGAAGAACGCGAGAACATTACCAAAGGCATACCTCAAGGAGTTACTGCTCTGAGAATCGGAGCTCGCCATTGACGGCGAAATCGAGCCCCGAAGAGAGAGAGAGAGAGAGAGAGAGTCTGAGACTCAGAGTGTGACTGGGGTTTATATGTGTAGAAGTCGTTGTTGAGGTTGAGGGGAGCCAATGGGGAAAGACTGCTGTGTTAGCCTGCGGACGAGAGAAGCTGCAACTCTATTGTGAAAAGACAATATTGGGTCTCGTTTTATGCTTGATGACTAAAATGTCCTTTTCCGTTTGACGTGGCAACATGCTTTTGCGCTTGCTACAAAATTGAGTTGAAATTTTGGCACGCTGAGTCATGGAATTGAACCTTGACTCTCTTCTCAGGTCTTCACACAAGGTTGATTTTTCCATTTTTATGTCGTCATACTACCATAAGGAATAAGGATATGAATTCTTTGAGTTATGCTGTCCTATCTTTCTTTGTTTTTCATATGATCAAATTACGAAATTTTAAATATGTATTAATTCAGTTTTTTATATAATTTGAATAAGGAAGTTCGTTGGAGAGGATAAAGTATGAATAAATAGGATAAAATAACAAGATAAAAGTATAAAAGGATAAACTACCAAAAAAAAAGTATAAAAAGATATGGGCGTGATCAACTCATTATAAAATGTCATGACATGATATAAATAAACAAACATATCCCTTTGAATTTGAGTTTCATATAATATCTATTATCTTATTATATCTATTACTAACATGAGTCCTTTAGAAATAATTTATTTTATTGCGAATAACATAGAATAACCAACATTTTCTCGTAGAATATTAGTCTACCCTATTATACATCACTAAATATTAGATAAGAGCACGATAAGATAATTTATTTATTCTCTTCTTTTTTGATAAATCACAGGTAATTTTTTTACAGGAAGTAAGTTTATTTGGAGCGAATTTATATTAAGATTTTAATTTCCTAAGAATGATAATGAAAAAAATTAAATATATACTCTCACCTACTCAACTTCCAAAAAGTAATAATAAATGATCCAACACATGATATATCCTCTTCTTTTTATCTTACCGCAAATGGGTTCTAAGAATCAAGAAACAATAAAGTAATTTCTTTTTCTTAAAAAACAGTAAGTAATTATTGAGAATAAAGAAACGTGTCAGTAACTGATTTTCTTGTTTAATTAAAATTTATTATAATCTATTTTTAAAATATAAAAAAATATACATATATTACCTATTTTTTTTCTTCCCTATCTTATTTACTTATTTTCAATATTGTTGAATAAGATTTTCACTTTTTCTCTCTAGATTCTGATCGAACAATACTAAAGAGGAGTAAATATGGTAAAAAAAAAAATTAGATAAAATATTTTATCTCTTTATCAATTTATTTATTTACTTTTTAAATATTTCAATTAATTCATCACTTCACATGTAGTTCAATTCAGAACAAATTCTAAAATTTAAGACTTTAAACTCTTTACTCAATGTTTTAACACCAACTGACCTGCCATTTGTATCCCTTTTATCAATTTGAATTTAGGATCTTTGGGCTGGGGGACGTAAAGCCCACGGGTCAAATCCAGTTGCCTGACCCATACACGAACCGACCCTCAAAGATGGAGCTGCAAACGCATTATTGTAAGGTATAGCGAAGAATTATCTTTAGATTAATCGTTCACCTGAACCCATCGTGGTCGTCGTCGTATCGGCATCGTCGTCGTCGCTGATCCTCCAGGTTAGTCGTTTCCTTCTCGCGTTCTCTTTTCTATTAACAAAGCTTCTTCGAATTTCGATCTCGGATTAGGGTTTCGCCTCTTTTTTTTTGTTCTAAAATTCGTTGTTTTTGATCAAAACATAGAAATTCTTCTCTTTGCCACGTTGTTGCTGATTTCTAGATCTCGGATTAGGCTATCGTTTTTCATGTTGATTTTTTTGTTTGATTTCAGAATTATGGCGGCTTTGAAAGAGCTTCTCCCTCCAGCGAAATCATCGTCAACAACTTACTATGACCATAGTAATGATCCATGGTTCAAGCAGAGATTCACCTCCTCCGAGGAGGAAAAATCCACCGCGATAAAGCAGAAGCCGGTGCCGCCTTATTTGAAGCGCGCTGGTTTTGTTCCCAGGAAGGTGGAGGATTTTGGTGACGGTGGAGCGTTTCCTGAGATCCATGTAGCACAGTATCCGCTTGACATGGGAAGGGACAAGTCCTCAAAACCCGGTTCGAAGATTCTTCCTGTGACGGTTGATGCTCACGGGAATGTTGCCTATGATGCTATAGTGAGGCAGAATGAGAATGCTAAAAAGATTGTATACACGCAGCAGAAAGATATCATACCTCAGTTTTTGAAGAATGATGAGTTAGATAATATGGATGAGGATGATGAGGATGTTCAAAAGGAGATTGAAGAAACAATGCAGGAAACAAAGGCTGCCCTTGAGAAGATAGTTAATGTGAGATTGAGTGCGGCTCAGCCTAAAAATGTTCCCAAACAGTCATCTGATACTAAGTATATTAAGTACAAGCCTTCGCAACAATCTGCGGCTTTCAATTCCGGGGCAAAGGAGAGGGTTATTAGGATGGTTGAGATGCCTGTGGATCCACTTGAGCCTCCAAAGTTCAAGCATAAACGTGTTCCCAAGGCATCTGGGTCTCCTCCTGTGCCTGTGATGCATTCACCTCCAAGGCCTGTTACGGTGAAGGATCAGCAAGATTGGAAGATACCTCCTTGTATTTCGAATTGGAAGAATCCGAAAGGTTATACAATCCCTCTTGACAAGCGTCTTGCGGCTGATGGGAGAGGCCTTCAGGAGGTTCAGATCAATGATAATTTTGCAAAGCTTTCAGAAGCGTTGTATGTTTCCGAGCAGAAGGCTAGAGAAGCAGTTGCTATGAGGTCCAAGGTTCAGAAGGAGATGCTTCTGAAGGAGAAGGAAAGGAAAGAACAGGAGCTGAGGGCTTTGGCTCAGAAAGCACGTTCCGAGAGAATTGGCGTGGCCCCTCCTCCAGCTGCTGTTCCCGCCCCTTCAGACAAGAGTGGTGTGGATGATGCCGATATGAGAGTTGATTATGAGCATCCACGGGAAAGGGAGAAGAATTTACCAAAGGAGACGAGGGAAGAAAGGGAGGAGAGGCTGCAACGCGAGAAAATTCGCGAGGAACGACGAAGAGAGAGGGAGAGGGAGAGAAGATTAGAGGCTAAGGATGCTGCAATGGGAAAGAAAAGCAAGATTACGAGAGATAGGGATCGTGATGTAAGTGAGAAAGTTGCTCTTGGTATGGCTTCTGCTAAGCCAGGGTCGGAGGTCATGTATGATGAAAGGCTTTTCAACCAGGATAAAGGAATGTCATCTGGGTTTGCCACTGATGATCAGTATAATGTGTATGACAAAGGATTGTTCACTGCACAGCCAACGCTCTCAACTCTGTATAGGCCAAAGAAGGATATCGATAATGAGGCTTATGGAGGTGCAGATGAGCAGTTAGAGAAGATTATGAAGACTGATCGCTTTAAGCCTGACAAAGGATTTACAGGGACTTCTGAAAGGACGGGTCCAAGGGATCGGCCAGTTGAGTTTGATAATGAAGAAGCTGATCCATTTGGTCTGGATCAGTTCTTGACAGAGGTAAAGAAGGGAAAGAAGGCCATGGAGAAAGTAGGTGGTGGAGGAACTATGAGAGCAAGTGCTGGATCTTCAATGCGGGATGGTCATGAGGGAGGATCTGGTAGGACTCGCATTGGATTTGAAAGAGGGCATTAAGTAGTTGTTATTTGATGATACCTATTTCTCATGCTTAGTGTCTCCTTCAATATCCATAGTGGTGGCTTAGATTGGTGTTCTTGAAAAGGATGGTCGGGATAATGTAGTTGTGTTAGAACTCGCTTTTTCTCCCCCTCCCCAGGGGTCATGTTTTTGTATTCTGTTTCTAAACTGCTTATGGGTGTTATTTATGACAAATCTATCTTTCAGTAAGTTATATTGAATGAAATGTAATGTTTAAAGCTGATCTTGTCCTCTATTAGAGACACGTATAAAATGGTTGTCCGAATTTGTTGTATGAAACAGTTTTGCAGGACATACCCTTCCTCTGATACTCTGATATTTCAATATGATATAAGAAGTTTTTTTTTTTTTTTTTTGGAAACCGATATAAGAAGTTTTATGTTGTAACTAAGCTCCCCTTTTTGTGCTAATTTTGTGTTTTCTTTTTACTTTTGAATATTTAATTTTTTTTTAATTGTAGTTGTATATCTAGCATGTTGTTGAGGGCTGAGTCTAAGGTTATTCATTTGTGAGTCTATTTATGCACTGGGTTTGCCATTTTATATCTAGCACGTTGTATTCTCTTTATTTGGTCATATTTTGACGGCATCTAACTAAGTTGCTCAAGGTTCACTTGCTTTAACTTCATTCTTTTCCTCGCTTGACTCAAATTTTTTAAAATTTATCTTTTTCCTGCTCTTTTTTGAGATATTCAAATTTCACTTCGACTGGTATGGGTAGCAAAGTCAATGAATCAAATTTCTGAGTCTCATAACGAGCATGAACTGCAATCCTTCTTGATGGCCGAAAATCTCATTGATAAGCGTTGCTTCAGAAATTCTGTTTTGCCTAACAAATGTGCAAAACAGAATGTGCAAATCTGCTTCAGAAAAGAGCAGGATTACATAAAGAGTTATTAAAGAAGCATATATACAAATGTGCAAAGTCCAAAATGAAAAAGTAAAACATCATCACTCTTCAGAGATCGGAATAACTACACACCACAGAAAGAGGTAGCCCTATAACAGTTTTCAATTAAAGGTCGTAAACACTAAATAGCAATGAAAAAAAAAAAATTCTGACCAGAAAATCTTAAACCGGTTAGTCACCAATCCAAACAACCCAGAAAAGATAATTGATGGATAACTTGTCAAACCGGTCCAAAACTGATGGTACAAAACAATTTAGAATAGTTACTATTATTTTTTTATTTAACCAAAAACTTTATTGGAATCTCAATGGAGTTTACAAGAATTTGGATGTCCACAAATGAGACTCCCACTGTAGCATGCGTCAAGACAGAAACACACTGAAATCCAGCTTATTTTATTGCTGAAACACAACACAACACACCACAACACAACACAACATCACTTTTAACACACCTTCAGTTTCTACTAATAAGTAATGACACACTGAAATTCGCAAACATAGCAATAAAAGTAACTAAAAATCTGAAAAAGTGCCTATGGTTCTTATCTCGGTGACCACTCATGATGATTAGTTTAAGTTGAAGCTCTCAGAGCTTCTTCCATGATCTTCAAAGCTACCTGCATCCTCTGAGCCATAACCTGCAAGCCCGAGCCAATAAAGGAATCAAGATGTTCCAATCTCCACCCTTCAACAGGTTCAACTTCATACAGCCACTCAATCTCACATCCATCTTCCTTTGGCTGTACTTTCAATGTTGAAACATAGGAGTGAAACCCAACATTTCCATCTATGATTGAATAGCTAAATGTCCAATGAGTAGGGTCAATGGATAGCAGTTTCTGCTTAGTCCAATTCATGGTTTGTTTGTCATTTCCATCCACAGGGGTCTTGAAACCTGCACAGAAGCGCACACACCCAGGTTTGCCAGAGATACCTTCAACAGGAAGGCATGTTGAGAGAGTGGGGAACCACTTTTCAAGGCCAAAGAAATCCTCCAAAAGAGGCCATACTTGTTCTGCTTTTGCTCCTATTACTTCTGTTTTGGCATTGCCCTTCCACTTTTCTTTTCCTTCTTGTGTTGACTCCATAATATCAAGTAAGAAGCTGCAAGTCCACACAAAAAGCAATTCAGGATGACCAATTTATATAGATGACCAATGATTGCTTTTTAGTGCCATTTTGTTCCACTTTAGAATCCCAATGGTTTGAAGCACATGTTTTTTTTTTAAGTGCATTAGGAAATTATTTCAATTTGGATATATGGTTATCCATTTTTCTCAAGTTAAATATTAATAAAATGGTTAAAGAATAGATCCTCTCTCATGTGATGTTGAAATAACAGTGCTAGTGTTGTAGTTGAACGAAGCAGAAAGCAAGGAAAACGTGTGCAGAAAAGCAAGCTACAAGTAATGTACGAGAAAAGGATAGAGATAGAAGAGGGTGGTTGTATGTGAGCCACAAATGGTTTACGGATATCTGATCTACCACTAAATTTTCAATGATCTTGTACTATGTATTTTCCCACTCAAATTGAAAAGACATGAACTCAATTGACATGAAAAATGAGTCCATGACTTTTTTAATTTGAATGGAGGAAGTAAATGTTCTGGACTTTTCAAGGCTCCAACCCAATAAGGTATTAGGGTAGCCTCGTGATATCTCACACTCCTATGGTAAATATTATACATGGCAGACAAGATAATTTGGTAAATACCAAATCAGAAATATACAAAATTATCTGTAAGACTTGGCATATTCTCCTCCTACCTTGATTAAAGAAGTTTACCTCTAAGTCCCAACAAAGTTGGTACTGTTATAAGTAGAAGTGGGTAGGTGTAGTTCTGACGAAGTTACACACAGCAATTGTAAGACTGTAATTTTTTAATTTTTTTTTATATCAACCCTAATTATCTCTTTGAGGCAAGTAGGCTTCTCTGGATATCCTCATAAGTTTCAATTCTTTGAATCGGCTGAGACTAATCCGAGTGCGGAGCGAGTCCGGAATTAAGATCTTATGCCCCCTCCCAAATATAATATTGGTGGGGATCGAACTGAGATCCTTTCACCACCTATTGAACTCCCATCAAGTGAGCCACCACTGATTGGTGCAAAAGTGTCATTTTTTGTTCTCTTTCTCTTTCTCTCTTGTAATATATATATATATATATATATGGTTTATATTTCTGCAACTGCTGTATGTGCAGCAATTAAATACTTGTCATATATATACGTGAAAACATTAAATGTGAGGAATCATAACCATACAAAAGATCAAAACATTAAATGTGGGAAATCATAATCATACACATGTCCTTGTTGTACGTAAAGCGGCTGTAGAAATAATTTTACCTATATATACATATATGTATATGTGGAATGATCCGTTTACAAAAAAATTTTACAAATTTTTGCAAATTACACAATGTACTCCTGGAAGTACATAGTGTAACCTAGTGTATTTCCAGAATACACAGTGTATAATTTGTAAGAGTTTGTAAATAAAAAATTTATAAATATAATCATCCCCTATATATATATATATATATATATATATATATATATATATATATATATATATATTGTGTCAAACTCATTGTCAGTTGTCGGAATTCAAAATTATTGTACTAGAAGAGTACTCAGCCTTTTCATTTGCAAATGAATTAAAGGAATACAATGGTCCTTCTCTCCATCAACGAGTGAGTGAATTGTTAGCCAGAAATTCAGATTAAGAAAGCTAACGCATTTGCAACGTTTGAAATGTGACAATGATGTACAATGCGAGAACAAATCACCTTGAAAGCTGTAAGGTAAACCAACTCCACCACCACAACCAAAGTTTCATCCAGACTTAAGAAACATTTTGAATTTGAGCTACAATGGTGATGATTGGTGAGCATGCAAATTACAAAATATCAGCAGTATGAATGATTTTTATTTCAAAATCTCTCATGAAATCATTATATGAATCTGAAAGGTACCTTTAGGGTGTGTTTGGTACAGGAGAAATTTTTTGGTGACCGGGAATCATGATTAATGGGAATTCAGTAGAAATTGAGTTTACTTGGAATCTTACGAAAGATGTGTTTGGTTCGCCAAAATATTACCGGGAATACTGGGTAAAAATTACTGATTCCATATTTGGTTTAGAACGAAATATGACTTGGAATATGAGGTTATTTTACAAAAATAACCTCAAACTATTTTTACTTTTGTAATTGATAGATTTGGTCTAGATTTTTATGTGTATTGGGGTATTTTTGTCTCAAAATTTATTGTTGTGCTTTCCCTTTACTTGGTATTCTGATTGGTATTCCGAATTACCATATTATTTTTGGTAATCTGAATAGTGACTTTTCTTTATAAATCAAATTACCGGTAATCCTTGGATATCCGGGAATCGTAATTTATTCCTTCTACCAAACGTGGTAATTACATTTACCAAAGAAGGATTACCGGTAATCCTCTCCAAAAACTTGAACCAAACACCCCTTAGTTTCCAAATTGATTTCCAATCCTGTGTTAAAACGTGTAACGCTTCATTTTATAAGCTTTGCTCTAACTACATCTTGCACCTAGTTTGAATATATAGCAACCAGATCGATGTCATGACCATTGGAGCTTATCCTGCATCTCATATTTGGAAGCATAAGGTGCACAATTATGTTCGGTAATTTGGTTACATCGACCATAATTGATTAGCTGTTTAACTTCATTTGTCTTCCTTCTTCAATAGACGAATCAAGAAATGTTCAAAATGTTTTTTGATTTGTTTTAACTCTTAGGCACACTAATGCAAATGAACATTTTGTTGCGACAGCTCTAACTCTTGATGTAAGCATTTTACTCTTGTTGCAAATCATGTTTCTTCTAAGTTAATGTTATAAAAATATAATATAAAAACCATTAATATAACATCATCTAATAATTTAAATTTTTGGGTTGATTCGGTGTTTTTTATTATATTTCTCTTAGTGTTATTAAGGTAGATTTAACACTACAAAGTATGGGGGGAATTTAAAAGCACAAGACCTCTAATGGATGGGAAATATTTAATATGGTTCAGAACCACTGAATTTTTTGGTACTCCTTCTCACATCATTAATTTTTCTTTCCTTTTTTATCCTTGTTATTTTCTCTCTTTTCCGATTTTACTCTCCTATTTACACTAAGGGACCACCTAAAAAATGGTAGTTCCCGGTTCACTCTAAATAATCTCCTAAAGGATGTGGCTCTGGCTGATATATGATGAAAGATCAAGATGCTTTTATGATTATAGCGGAAAACTCAAGTTAACAAATAATGTTATGATGGAGCAACTCTTGAGAAGCCTCGTTCTTGGAAAAAGTGTTTCTTCTTTTAAATAACATAATTTGTGTAATTTCATTCTCGTAAAAAAGTGGGATCCACACTTTTATTTTATTTTTTTGTCCACTCTTTCTTCTCCTGATCAATCTTTTTTCTCACTTAAAATGACATCTATTCCAAAAAAATGACATAATTTTGGGGAAAAAGTTTCCGATGTTACTTTAGATAACTTTATCTAATGTTCATCGAAACGACGTTGTTTTGGGGTTGAAAAATTAAAAAATTAGAGTGATAAACACTATTATAACCCTGAAATAAATTAAAATTACAAAAATACCATGATTTCCGTCCCAAAACGACGTCGTTTTGATGAACATTAGATAAAGTTATCTAAAGTAACATCAGATAAAACAAACCCATAATTTTACATTCTTTAAAATGACACATACTTTTTCCAATTGTTTTTTATTGGCCATTTTTTCTCTTAAAAGTTTTCGTACTTGAGTTTTGAATCTTCGTTAATTTATTTTATAACCGTTGATTTGATTTTGATCTAACGATAATAAAATTAATACCAAGAAATAGTAAAAAAAAAATGATAATAAGCATAACCTCCCCATTTTTTATAACATTCTCCTACGTATGTTTTTGGCTTTGATACAAATATTACTTTCCATTCTATTATATAATTTTCTGCCCATATTTTTTTCTACTGAGCATTTTTAATGCTTTCATCGCTCTCATTAATTAATCAGTACTATTCTCATTTAAAATAAAACACTTGTATTAGGGATAAATTATAGATTATGTATTTTGAAAAATATACAAACGAAATATAAAGTTATTTTTTTCTCATTCTTCTTAAATAATATTAATATGTCAGCATTGATATCTTGGAGCGCATCTTCGATACAGCTGAAACACAAAAATTGGGTGCCATTGTATATTTTACGGAGAAAAATGTTTCCGCAGTTAATGCAGATAAGTTATCTGTATTTATTCCTAAAACGACGTCGTTTTAGTATTGAAATCTTAAAAAATTATGAATATAAAGACTATTATAATCCTGAAATAAATTAAAATTACAAAAATACCATGATTTCCTCCTCAAAACGACGTCGTATTGACTTACTGCAGATAAGTTATCTGCAGTAATTGCAGAAAAAACGAACTCATATTTTATATTATGTACTCGTAATAGATAGTGTAAAGTATACAAGTTATTTTTTTCTCTCTTAAAGACAAATGCAGCTGATGTGGCGCATTCTTATTCATCAAATGTACCTATTACCATGGTATATCAGCAGTGGCGGAGCCATGTGCATTGTAGATGTGGCCTTGGCCCGGACTAAATTTTAACAAATTATAATTATTATATATAGTTATATGATTATATATAATTTGGCCCGGGTTAAAATTATAATTTAACCCGGGTTATAATATAATTTGGCCCTATCTAAAGCTTAGAATATTTTTGGTAATAGATTCGCGTAAGTTGTATTGGGTTATGTGTTCAATTTTTACTTGTATAAAAAAAAATAAAAAAAATATTTTTAGTAAAATTAAAAAATATTTAATAAAATTATAATTCTTCTTAGTATTGCTTGCTCAGATGCTCTGTATTTAATATAATTTAAATGGGGAGGGTTATACTTACAAAATTTTTGTTTACAAATTACACTGTGTACTTCTGAAAGTACACTAGGTTACATTATGTATTTTTGAGAGTATATAGTATAATTTAAAAAAATTTGTAAACGGATCATTTCCAATTCTAAATATATTATAATATAAACTAACTAAAACTAAAAAAAATAAATACACATATAATTTTTTGGCCCGTATATCAGATTTTTCCAATATCTTATTTTCATTGGATGAATCGTACTGAGTAATAAATGCGACACGAACACTTAAAAAAAAATTCAAGATAATATTCTGACTACGATATTATGTGCAGTTATCTCCAAACTCTCTGCTCTGTCTAAAATTCAATCATGTCATTGATCAAATAAATGCTGGCATGCTGCCGATGTGTAACATGAAAAGAGTAAGATGTTTTACGAGTAAAGGAAAATAACAGACTTACAAAAAAAAAACAAAGGAAAATAACAGAGTTTTTTAATTTTTATATTTGCCTTATAATTCTAATTTTTTTATTAAACTATCTTTTATCAATAAAATACTTCGAAATAAAATGTTAATAGACACGTATGCCTTTGTGAGGTTATACTTTTATTAATTCTTTTATGGAAAATATAGCTCTGCTGTTGTTGGGAGAAAAAGAATTACAGTAACACATAAAAAATTAGGATACATTAATAGATTTTGATTTTTTTTTAAATAAAATAAGTGGATCTATCTATTGTAAAAAATCTCATTTGCATCGCAGAAAAAAGGAACCTTTCTTTCATATCCAAAAAGATATAAGTCGTGGCACATAATTAGTTTTATCTCTGGACCACGCACACTAATTTATATTAGTTACATGAAAATCTTACAATCATTTTTCAGATAAGGACCAAATTTTTGTGGCAGAGGTTTGAGCAGCAAGACAAATGGCAGGCAAATACAAAAAGGCAATAAATTATGAACAAAGCCCACCATGAAGAACTTAGGAGTAAAGGATTCTAATTGGAAAAAGTCTTCAAAAGCAGAAGCATTATACAATTAAAAGCTGTTCAGTGACAAAGAGTTTGCAAAAACGATTACTTAAAATTTTAAAAAGAACTGCACTAATGTATATCTTTTTTGCCGTACCACCAATAATTTATGGAAAAAATATCTGAAATTTTCAAGGACCTGTCCATGTTTGACAGTTAGACTAACTTAATTAATCAATTTGATGAGAGAACTACCACAATTAAGCAATGTTCTATTTTTAATTTTCTACCTTGCTGATATGTCACATGTGAATATGTCTCTCTTTTTCTTTAAAACTTTTCATTAAGGAAAATCTATTTTCTTCTCATCTGAGGATAAATATGGAGTACTAGTTATAAAAGATGTTTCTTTGTAATTAAAAAGTCTCAAATTTGAAAAAACAACTTTATTATGGACTCGTGAGAAGCCCGTAGAAGATCTAATAAGAGTCAACACAAAAGAAAGAGAATCATTTGTTAATGATTATCTTATCTTAACAATAAGGCAATTGGATTTGAGGCTCCAAATAAACCACTAAAGGTCCAGAATGACTCACAGATAAATTTTATAAATAAGAAGTAAAATCTATAGAATATAGTTACATATCTAATTTCTCTTACTGTTATGTTGTTACTATACACACATACCATCCCATTGGCATAAGCTGTTTCTGTCGTGTATAGTGATCAATAATCTCGAGGATATCTCACATTTAGATATCTAAGAGAAAACATTATATCCAGTATAAATATATTAATCTTTGACTAGACATCTCTGTCATCCAGACTCAACAAACTTCTTTACATACGTGTAAGGGTAATTGGGTAAGGTTGTTGACAATAGTTGCCCTCATACCACCTTTGTTAGTTAATATTTAATTGGGAGTGATTTTCTATACGAGTAAATAAAAATCTCTTGATACAATCACTTAAACTTTTAGCCATACATGATTATATTCATATTCACTTAAATTAGCGCGTGGACTGTGTACGTGAACGCCCCCGCTTATCGCGAGGGAAGAAATTTTTATTATTATTTTCTATTGAAGGTTTATTTATTAGAAAATATAAAATTATACAAATATATTTTTGTATGTTTATAAATTTTGTGTTTACAAATTACACAATGTACTCTGAAGAGTATATTTACTTTAGAATATACTCTTCTAAATTCAAAATGTAATTTATAAACAAAAATTTTGTAAATATAACATGTCACATTTAATACATATTTTTAAAAATAGTTTATCACAAATAAATATTATTTAATATTCAATAAAATATTAACAATTTAATTGATGATCAAATCGAGTAGTTTCTTTTTTTTTTGAGTTACCCAACCTTAATTATCTCTTTGAGACGAGATGGCTCCCTCCGGTATCCCCACGAGCTTCGATTCTTTGAGCCGGCTATGAGACTAATCCGGAGTGCGGGGAAACAGTGATGGCTAAAGGTTCAGCCCCCTCCCCAAGAATGCATTCAGCGGGAATCAAACACATATCCAACTCCACTAACCCAGCGCCAAATTACCAACTGAGCTGCACCTATTGGGTTGAAATCAAGTAGTTTCTTGTAAAGAATGAACTTTCACATCAGTTAAATTCTGGTATGTTTTGATATTAACATTTATTAATTAGTTAATTTCATGTAGTGTAAGGATATTTAATTAATGGCTATTTCTTCAAGCTAAACTTATGTAGTATTGTATATGTCTTTTCAATGGGAGAATAGTGGTTTATATATGTGAAAATCATAGCCCCTAATGCCATGAGAAAGAAAATGAGTCTTATCGTTTTTGTCTACTCTTCACTGCTGTGGTGTGGGTGAGGAATTACTCTACTATTATGTAGGGGAGTAAAAGATCCTCTAAAATGAGATTTTTGTGCTTATTATGGAAAAGTAGAGGAGTGACCCGGTAATGAGTTTATGCAGGTCAGCCATATATATTGGGCTATGAAAGCTAACCCGAAAAATAATTGAATCCATAAACCGATTATAGGGAAAATCAGTTGACATCAAGGTCTTAATCAGTTGCCACCAAGGTTTTAATATGCCATTAATTATTTCTGGACAAACCAAAACAACTCCTTTTGTTATTGTGATCATCAGTGTCAATGAAAATTGTTGGAACGTTCCGCCGTAACGCTGATTGAAATTGCGCCTTCACTAATTTGAGTTTAAATAATATTAATTTTCAAACTGTAAAGTATTACCATACTAATTTTTATGCATAGAAAATTAGTCTCCAATCTCCGTCCACCCTATAATTATGATAATATAGAATATGATCTCTTAATACTTGTGTCAAACTTTGAAATTTGACACCAAATCTTAATCGTTGATTTTCGCCAATAAACAGTTATCATTTATTAGGAATCAAACTTATTAGTTAACTATTAATTCTAAATAAATAATAACCGTTGATTGACGAAAATTTGATGTCAAATTTCAAAGTTTGATACCTTATCTAAGAGCCATTAAATTGAGACAGATAAATTAACAATATCATATACTTACAAATCAGAATCGTTAGATCAAAGTATGATCAACAACTTTTACATAAGGTGTCAAAGTATTCTTCCTATATATATATATATATATATATATATATATATATATATAAGATTTATTATGATCAACAACTTTTACGTACATCTAACGGTTGAGATTTATTAAGAATTAAAAATTAATTAATGAGTGAAACTTAATAAATCTTAATCGTTAGATGCAGAAAATCAATGGTTAAGATCTGGTGTAAGACTTATTATTCTTACACCGGTGTAAGATGATCATGTTTCATATATATATATATATATATAGGGGAAAATATTATTATTTTAAATGACATAACACTCTGTCTTTTTAAGAGAGAGAGACAGACACAGAAAAAAATTTATTTAAATTTTAAATTAAAAAAAACAACTCACTTTCTCTCTCCCATAATTTCCATTTTTCTATATCTATCTCTTTCCTAAAATGACATAACTTATGTCATTTAAAATGACAAACAACAAACCCATATATACACACACAAGAGCATATAACCATAGACCCTATTATTCTATTTGTTAATATAAAATACAAACAAAGTTAATCAATAGAATTTCTTTCCAGCAAATACAGTTAACGGTGGCGCCCATATTTTTTAAAATAAATAAATAAATTCACACCGTTCAATGTCTCTATAACATAACATAAAAATCTTTCCGCAATATTACACTTGTTTTTCCTATAAAATAATAATGGATTAAATAGACCGTATTATTCTATTCATTAACTTAGTTTCTATGACTAATAGAATGATACGGTCTACGGTCATATACTCATATATAATTACGCGGTTGAGTTGTCTTAGTGATTAACTTAGTCTCCACGGCAAATGCTAACCACTGGGGACTATCAGATTCAAATCTAAGTATTTAAGTATTATATTAGTTGCCATCATGGAGACCTTCACCTTCTAGAGTTAGTAAAGTCCAATCCAACTTACCCAAAAAAAATAAAATAAAAAAAGTCCAATCCAACTTCCATGTAAACCACAAAGAAGCAAACAAACAATTTAGTAACAATCCCAATCATTTATAATATCGGCAAACGCTCTTTCGGCTCGTGAACTCCAGTCTCTGTTCAGTTTCATACATTTCTTCTTCAATACATATACACGTTACTTTAGGCTTATTCAACCATTGAAGTGTAACGTGGCACTTGAATTTTTTTTTTTTCCTTAATCAACAAGACAATACAGGCACGCGCTCTCATTGGAAGTGAACTTTAATATGGGGTTGGGTTTAAAATTTCTTAAATGGCATGAGATAAATATATTTTTTATACATACATTCATAAGAAGAAAAACAGAAAAAAAAAATATAAACCACATATATTTTTATATATGTATAAGTCATAAATTTATATTCTACGACATGATAATCAATTAATCCAATATATAATTATCTTGGAACCCTTTATATACCTCTCAACCCTCACTCTCCCGTTGCAGACCAAAACACATTCCAATTCAATCTCTCTCTCTCTAGACAAAGAAAACAACAAAGACACATAACAATCATCACACTCTCAAAAAATGGAAATTGAGACAAGCCCACAAGTGGTTGCGAAGAAGCTATGGAACATAGTACGCATAATGTTCTTCATGTTGAGAAAAGGCATAGCCAAGTGCAAAGTCACGATGGAGTTCAATTTGTTACTCAAACGTGGCAAACTCGCCGCCGGCAAAGCCATATCCAACACCCTCATGCTCCACCACCACTACGCCGCCGCCACATGCTACCGCTCCCACCCTCCTCCCGGAGACTACGAATTCAGCTGCAGCAACAGCCCCGCCTTCCCCTTCCACCACCGCGATCATCGCCGCCGCCGCCGCCACCACGGCCACCCCTTTGACCGGTTCCCCAAGCCATGCCAGTACGATGACGTTTCAACCATAAATGCGGTTCAAAAAGTGCTTGAGATGCTGAATAACAGTGACAACAAGGTTGAGGCTTCACCTTTGGTAACATTGCCAGGGTTTGGGAAAAGTCCCATTGGGAAGAAACTTAGAGTCACTGATTCACCCTTCCCTTTGAAGGATGAAGGGGATGATGATAACCAAGTAGACATGGCAGCTGAGGAATTCATTAAGAGGTTCTATAAGAACCTCAATTTGCAACAGAAAATGGCTGCTATTGAATCACCTAACCATAACATGTGGTGACTTATGATGAACAATATTAGACATGATGTTGTATCTATTTAATTTGTCACATGTCACAACCACCTTCTTTTTTTTTTTTTTGTCACAAGCACCCACTACATGTTTTTCACATCTTGATTACTTGGATGTAATAGTTTTTCTTGGAGAGGTGCTAATGCTTATAATTTTGTCTTTTGGTAGTGTTTTAGTCCACACAATGATTTGGGTTTTTTTTTTAGACTCTGTTTTATGTATATTAAGGTTTCCCATTTACATATGTTGATATATAATAAGAGAGCTATATATATTTCATCCATTATTATAATGTTAAATGTTACTCTTTTTATTATTGTTAATAGTAGTTAGTAATAATAGAGGGGGGAAAGGAAATATGAGAAAAAAGGGAATTGTGTTTGTGCTTGTCCTTCTCTTGTAGTTTGGAATTTCTTTGCTCCTGATAAAGCTTTGCACCTACTTCTACTTTCCATGATAAAGTGAAGAGACTAAAGCAAGGTAATGTTATATATGTTTATGTCCATGGGTCATTTCGTATGGAAATTGAAGGTACCCCTTTTCAAGGTTGGTGTGTTGGAGCTTGGTTTTATTAGCCCTTTTAAGTATTTCTTGTCTCTGAATTGGTCCCTCTAACTCCATTATGATGGTGGTTAATGACTTACAGTGTTTGTTTCTGCTCCATTTACACACAGTTCTTATTATAACTGAAAAAGTCATAATTAATTCACCACCATTAAAACCAAAGTATGGTCTATAGATATAACTCATGAATTTAAGTATAAAATTAAGTCTTCATTTAAATTCATTAACGTAACAGGTAGCTGTTATTTTTAATTAAGTTTTGGCTAATCAATAGGCACATAAACACAAAATATTAGACATTATGTTAAAAGTACTCTTCTTGATTATTAATTGGTTCGCATTTGTTAGAATCAGTAACTGTATATTAAACAATAAATATAAGAAAGTTATATTGATTGATTATATTCTATTTAAGATAATTTAATAATATTTACTTTATGTAACTAGTGGATGTTAGTTGTTACAGAACAGAAGTTTAAACATCATTTGTGCTTACATTAATAGAGTGAAAATGATTTTGAGTTTTTAAAATAAAATATTTAAAATACAAAATATACTTTACAAAGTAAATTAAAGTGCGGAGAGAATCACCGTTGAAATATCAACTGTTTAAATTCTTATTGTTACTGAATATATATTCCAAAAAGTTGTATTTCTTTCTTATCTTTTCGTCAATCATTATCTCTGTGTATTTTAGGAATAACGACCATTTTGTCAAAATGTGGCAAAATATATACCAAAATGTCATATTTTAGAAATGATTTTCGTTCTGTTATATCTAACGGCGGGACTCATTATGATGTGCCAATCACATTATATTAATGATTTTACTATTGATTATGGAGTAAAATACTGGAAAACTTTTCACCAAAAAAAAAAAAAATACTGGAAAACTTACAATATTTGGACATTACTTATGTATTAATCAATTTCATACGGTATTAAAGCCAAATTCATAATATCCCAGGAAAGTGACCATTGTTGGTTCATAAAACCTTTGAAGTTCGAGTATTTGGAAAACCAAGTTCATTTATTTTTGTGCTGAGTAAGGATGATATTAGTGGAAGGACATAAAGCATGAACTCAATTAATGTCTTAAGGCTTTGGATTAAAACGTGACATCAAATTTGTTTATTGTGGTAGAATGTTGCTTAGCCTATTTCAAGGTATTTCCTCCTAGCATGGACTCCCTCGATTATAAAATAGTGATATCAAAGACAATGATTGATCGACCTGATTGGTATTTAGATTTGTAAGGATTTCCTAACAGGTGTTATCAAGGACTTGATAAGCATAGTGAAGCTTTGACATAATCCCATGAACACTCGAAGAAAATTTCACTAGAGGAAAAAGAATGTTGAGAGATTGTGTAGCGACTTCAAAGTGTGACGTTTTGGAAGAAAAAAGGAAAAAAATTCGTGATATTTAAATTATTTTTATTGCCAAAAATGGTAGTACAATCAATGTTCCCTCTTAATTATACGAGACAATCTCTTAGCGAAACTAACAACCTCATACAGTGGCTTATTTAAAAAATAACAAGTGTTGTCACATTATGGGTAATATGTGAGGAGAGATCATGCATCACAGACATTGTTGTTATTTATTCGGCGCGTGACCCATTGCTGTCTGACATTTCTTAAGCGCATGAATGATTGGAATAAGACATAACCATTGCAATGGGTGAATCATTGTTGTGATCATGAACCCCCTGATTACTACTGTTTTAAATGTAGATCCCAGAAATTCATTCTCAAACATCACTATTTGTTGCCTAAGGCATTTTAATTCTTGCAAGCTAGATTGGACACTCTTTTTTCTACGCAGCATATCACCCATATCGGATATGAAAAAACTTCATTTTCATATGAAAAAAAAATCAAAACTTTTATTTTCATTAAATTAGATCAAACTAGATTGGTTCCTCACAATAGTTTTATTTTGAATCAAAGAGTGGTTAAACATCCCTCTCACTCTACCTCAAGACATAATCTAAAGTGCTATAATATATATGTTAAATTGCAACAACAAAAATAAATTGGAAATTCGTACTTCAACGGCCAAAAACCCATATCGTAAACCTCATTAAAAGTAAAACTTAAAAATAAATTATATCTTGATAAGCCATGTGAGAATATAATTTGAAGTTTAGATTTGAGGAATGAAGGTAGTATACATAATTTTCTGTAAAAAGAACTATATGATATCATACATTTCATTTTTAGGGCTATAAAATTTTTGTTTTCATTTATCATACTATCATCATTAATAAGGTCGATGACATGTCGCCGTTAATCATCATCAACTATAATTTAACAAAAACGGTTACATGTTCCATTCGGAATCGATTGAGGCCTAATAAAATTGAAAGACAAGGACTCTATAGATAAATATGTGAACCTCGAGCGAATTTTTTATGTACCCTGGTGCATGTGCTGCTTCCATTGGCGGGCTGACAAATGGAGAAAAAAATAAAATTTTTCTATCCTCTATATACATATCACAAAAAATATTTGATTTTGATTAATCTGGACCACTAAATAAGTGGTGGGCCGAAAACACATTAAATATTTCTGTGAACCTCTTGTTTTGTGCAGTTAATAAATTTGAGAGTGGATCCTCTCATGTGAAAAAATGATCATATTATTTGATTACAACCACTTATTGATGATGAGATAAGAGAGAGAAAAATGTATAATTTTTAAATGACTGATTATGATCAAATAACATGGCACATGACTACTTTTCCACATAAGAGGATCTTCTCCCATTAAATTTGGAAATGGATCCTCTCATGTGCAAAAAAAATATGATATGATTATGTGAAAAGATCACAATTATATAAAGGTAAATAAACGGTTATGATTTTATAATTACTTGTTTTAATATTTTTTTTCTCTTCTCTTTTATTATCATTAATCTACCTTTGTATGATTATGATTCCTCGTATGACATGGTCATGTGATTTTCACACGATAGGATGCAGATTCAATAAATTGAGTCATATATAGAAGATTTAACTATTCATAATCATTATATTGCGCGCCTGTATACTATTGGTAGCCTTATTAAGTAATTCTTGATAAATGTGTTAAAAGTCACTGCTTTATTGAATTTGAAATTATGGGGAAGAGGAAGTGATTTCAGCGCAAACTTTACAAGAGACACGGTTAAAAGAGAGCATTATTTAGTGCGAATGTGCGGTTACTTAAAAGCAATGGGTTGATTTGTTCATTTCTTCTTAAAAAAGTAGTGGTAGTGATAACTGTTGGTGGAACCATTTTCTAAAAGACAAAAAAGCCATGCTGCTTTGGGATCATGGAAGATGCACAGACATAGAATTGTTGCATCAATTAATTAAGAAAAAAAACGAAGGGACTTTGAACTTTAAAGTTCTGGTTTATACTTTATTGAAAACTGAAAAGAGAAGATAAGCTTTGGACATATCTTAATGGATTTAATAATTGTAGATTTTTTATTTTTTTCTACCAACTTTATAATTGTTCGTAGATCTGAGATATTGTTTTTTTAGCCACTATTAGTGTATCATATATGTTCCAGAGATATAAAAATTGTAAAATAATTAATTAAGTCTCATATAATATTTTAAGATTTTGGATTAAAATAATTCTTAATAAGGTGTCGGAGTTGTAATAATCAAGTTATGAGTTCGATTCTCATTGCTTATACAAAAAAAAAACAGTTTAATGGACTTATACCATATCCATGCTTTAAGTTCAAAAAATAGACTTATATCATATCCAGGCTTAAGGTTTAAAGAACTTTTGTGTGAGAGAGTATGTTAAATAAATACAAAATATATAAAGTAATTAATTAAATCTGATCTAATACTTTAAAATTTTGAATTAAAACTGCACTTAACAATATCATAGGCAAACAGTTTAATTTTGACGGGGCTTAGTTTCCTTTTCCAATCCAACAGGAATTGGTTCTAAGGCAGGAGATACCAAATAGAATCTCTTACTAAAAGAAGAAGAAGAAGAAGTAAAACCAATCAGAAACTTTTGTGCTTAATTTTTTTATTTTTTTCAAAATGAATAATGTGTGGTAAGGAATTTTGGATTGTCTAATTAATCCTTTCATCCAAGCATACTGAACATGATACTTAATGATCCTACACTGGACAAGAAAAAATAATCATATGAATAATATGTGAGTTTATAAAAAATAAAAAAAGCTAGAAACCAGAAAGCTCATATCAAGAGTTTCTCTTTAAAAAATATTTTTCTATTTTTTTTCTTTCTTAAAAAACATTTTTTTTAAGAGCTTTTATAAAAATATTTTTATTTAACTTCTCATCTCAAATAGAAAAGCTAAAAAATCAAACCAAACAAAATAAATACTTAAGTAATCCACCAAGAAATGGATCACAAGGAAATGAATTATCTTATGTTTTAATTAATATGATCATGTCATATGACAGAATTTTAATCATACAAAAATTAATTAATGGTAATAATTCTATAACTACCTATTCTAATATATATTTTTTTCTTTTCTTATCGCCATTGATATACTTTTGTATTATTATAATTCTCTCATATGATCATGTTGATGCTATTTAACACACGAGAAAATCCATCCCATGCACTAGAGTGTTTTTTTTTTTAGAATAATTTGAAAATCTTGTATTTTGGGTTTGCGT